TCTATGTGCATGGATGGATCGAGGGTGTCCCTAACAACGCAGGTATTATATTACAACTGCGACCACGAAGGCAAGCGTCACTGGAGTGGCTCGTGGCATCGGCGTCAAGCGGCAGCTGCAGTATGGATGTCTGCACCTGAACCGTAAACCGCATACCCCCGCTCCATAGCCCGCTAAACCTCAAACCATACGCTGAGGGTCCGAGTATTTGATTATCAGATACTCTCCACATTTGTAAGCTACACAGCAACTATCCTAAACCCGAGGTCTCTAATTCTCGGGTCCTTTGGACCCTGAAAATTAAGCTGTAAACACATCATCTGTCGGCTTAGCTACCGCCTTCTACCCCAACATGTCACTCCATGCAGTCAAAGCCCCTAGCCTCCGAGATTGATTCTTAGTGGCATATTGGGCTTTCTGGTCGGAGTGGGATGCGGGGAGCTTCCATTGAATGCTCCGAGTTGTTTGAGGAGCCGCGAAATCCGGAGGTCCTCAGCTCTAAATCCAAAAGCCCTGAGCCCCAAAATCCCTGAGCCCCTAAAGCCCTGAGCCCCTGAAGCCCGGAGCCCCCGACCCGTCAGCTTTGGACTCTTACAGTTGAACTTGCTACCTGGCTTACAGATCAGGGCAGGGACCCAGTCAGGAGCACTCGCTCAAAGGCAACTGCAGTAAGTAAAAAGGTACCTTTCAATAGTTGAGATTGGGACCTGCAAAAACGTCGGTTATGGTAAACCCTCAGCTGCAAACCCCTCAGCCCTAAACACAAAGGCACCTGCAGTAAGTATAAGTTTCCTGGAAGCTGTGGTTGTTCAGCTTCAACTAGCTCCAAGGCATCCTCCCAAGTGTTGGTCTTGGAATTTGGGCAGCTTTCCTTTGTTCAGGGATTCGGGATCAACGACAGCGGATTAGTGTTCGGGGTTTAGGCTCAAGGACTTGGTGTGGTGTAGGGCGCAAGGGATCGGGGGTGGATGTGAGCTAAGACTAGATGACCTTCCAGTCCACCCAAGCAACGGGTGTAAACATGTGAAGGGACACTTCCGCGCAAACCAAGCCGAACGCCAAAGCACGATGCCTCTCTGGCGGCTACTTGGGTTTGAGAGCCCTTCTTGAGGGTTTCGCCTCTTCATGGGGTGTTTTGTATAATAACTTGCCACAATCTAAACCCTAAACCCGAAATCCCATAAAACACCAGGCCTGCCCTTCATCTGGTGTGTTGGGATGTGAGCCACTCGAGGCAAGGCTGCGAAAAAAACACAAAATCATGTGGTGTCTCTTATGTAGAAGTCTAAGTAAGTAGTAGAGTCCTATTGCCACATTATACTAGGGTCCTTATTGCAAGGACTCCTAATCGCGGGAACCTTCTTACAAGGACACATGAGTAGTAGTAGGATGCTTGTTATCAGGATTCCAAAATAAGACATCCCTGAGTTTACAAAACTCCCGTAACTTCCCGGTTTGGGATGACCTAGTTCTCATGGTTTCAGGCCTGAAATCACACCTCGTCACACCCGAAGCACGAAAAGAGTAGAAACTACAATGTCAACAGAGGCAAGCACAAGCTTGCCGTTTTAATTATAGGGAAATGATGAAGAGGCTGTAGCCAGGAATTTCTGTAGCTTTAGAGTTCCGGGTTAAAGTGGGCCTCAGGCTAATTCTGGCAGCCCTCCGTTTCAGAGGTTCTTAAACCATGCACCTGCCCTTTAACAGGTCCCAACGCAAATTCAATGTTTGGTTCAACAAGCACCCTTTCACAAGACCCTGACGGTGACAACCACCATGGACCAGATCGTCTAAGACCGTGATCTCGTGACATTAGGGTACTAAACGGTTAAACCTCCTGATAGAAGCTACTCCAAGCCCTGTACTTACACCTTGAACCTGAAGCCCTAAACCTTAAACCTTAAGCTCAAAACCTAAGCCCCTAAACCCACAACCTACATCTTACACCCTAAACCCTAAACCCTAAACCCTAAACCCTAAACCCTAAACCCTAAACCCTAAACCCTAAAACACGAAACTCCTAGAACCTGGACCTTCGCCCTGCCCCATGTGCAGCGGCGGTCCAACTCATGTTCGGGGCATTTGGCGGAGGTCTGCCTGCTGCGATGCATTGGGTGTAGAGCTTAAGCGTTTCAGGGCTTAAGGGTTTAATGGCTTAAGGGTTTAAGGGCTTAAGGGTTTAAGGGTTTAAGGGCTTAAGGGCTTGAGGGTTTAAGGCATAAGGGTTTGAGGGTTTAAGGGCTTAAGGGTTTAAGGGTGTAAGGGTTTAGGGTTTAGGGTACCCAGAGGAACAGGGGTAGGGACATCCCTATAAAATGCTTATGCTTGTGTCCTTTTGGGGGTCCCTATAGCAGCCTGAATACTGATTAGGGTTTAGGATTTAGGGTATAGGGTTTAGGGCTCTTTTCAATTCCATAAGTTATTGGCTTTGATAATTAGAACAGGGTTTTGGGGGGTACCTTGTTATAATTATAGTAGAATACCCTAAACCCTAAACCCTGTAGTCTCGATTGTAGTTCCTTTCGTTGGTTTAACCAATTATATACTTAGGATCCTACAAGGTAACCTCAAAAAGGAACTACAATGGAGACTGTAGGTAGAAGCCTGAATACTGTTTCAGCGTCTCGGGTTTCGGGTTTAGGGTTTAGCGTTTCGGGTTGAGGGTTTGGGAGTTGAGGATTTAGGGTTTCGGGTTCATCCTCATACTGCTTATATATAAAGTAAAGGGAGCTCCAACACTGATCATACCTAACCCATGTTCGAACGTCTATGGCGTCTACGAAGGAAAGGTTTCTGTAGGAACGGTCTTTTATGGCGTTTTACGTAGGGCTTTTTGGGTTTAGCACAGCGGTCAAACTCTACGGGAAAACTGAACCCTCAACCCTGAAGCTACCTTAAATCCTAAACCTTAATCTCAGACCCCAAAACTCCTTTTGTAGGAGAAGCCGCAAAGAACCCTGAAAGGAACCCTCATGAAGGGCCTGGTCACAGCAACCAAGGGCGTGAGGGCCCAGATGGCCAGCTGAAAGCGGCGCATCCTCCTACCAGCAATGTCGGGGCCTTAATAATTAGAATAGGGTTTTGGGATATAGTATACTACAATCAAACCCCCAAAATAGTAGAGGTAATTATTAAGGCCCCTATAGGATTCAATGTTTGAGGTTTGCAGTTCAAGTCTACTGTGCTAAGTTGGGGTGTTAGTGTTGGGAATTCAAGGTCTTGTTTGAGGCTTTTCGGGTTCAGAGGCTTCGAATCCGGTATAAGGCTCTTTTCGGCGTGTCAACAGGGCTTCTAGATTAGAGGTTGTTTCGGGTTCGGAGTTATAGAGTTTGAGGCGTTCTGTTTTGGGGTTTCGTGTTTGGAGATGAGTCTGCTACGACTTTCGGCTCTGAATTTGGCCTTTGGGATTGTGGGGTTTTCTCTTGAGCTCGGGGCTCGTGGTCTGCATCCATGATCGATTCTGGGACCTATGACCTCACGCTCCAACTGGGTCATCCGCGGAGATCCTTATGAAGGAAGCCAAAAACCAGACAAGCAAGCCAGTCAAACCAAAGAGTAAGCAAGACTAAACTCTAAACCCTAAAACCTTAAACCTCCTAAACCCTAAACCCTTAACCCTAAAACCCTAGACTTCCCAAACTTCCTTAACCGTTTACAGAACATTCCCACGCCTGCCGCCACTCCCATGGACGGAGCAAGTTCGGTTTGCTACCCGCGGTAGACTTGGAGCCGGAGCGAAGGTTCTCAAAGCTGCAGGCTGTTAAAGTAACGTTAATTTGGGTTTAGGGTTTAGGGTTTAGGGTTCCGTTAGTTATTAAGGACCTCTATTATGCTAATATCTCTATTATGATAACATTGATATTGGACTAATGCATGAAACTGTTTAAACTAACGGAGGGTTTCAGAGTTTGGGTGGTGGGGGTGGGGTGTACACAAAGACCATACCTTGGTTCGGGGTTTAGGGCTTTAGGGCTCAAGGTTTGGGGTGTAAGGTGTAAGGTTTAGGGCTTAGGGTTAAGATTTAGGGTTTCGGGTTTAAGGTTCAGGGCTTGGGTTGTTTTTGTTGAAGACCCTTTTTCCGTCCAGCAGATTCGCCGTTAGGCTTTAGGGTTTAGGGTTTACACAAAACTCAAACTGCCCAAGTGCCCTCAAACAAACACTCTAAGTTGCTGCAAATCTGGACCGTTGTCACAGAGCTGAAGGTACGATGACAAGGGAAACATGCAACTCTGGAAATAGTTCCTACGATCGGAAGATTAATCAAGCTTCTGGCCAAGAGCCCACAAGACAAGAAACAGACTGCAGAGACCTTGCAGAACCAACTATACAGCCTTACGACAACCCATTGAAACCCTATACAGCCTTATAACAACCCTATCAGTCACAGAATTATAGCAACCCGAAAAACCCTCTACAGTCTTACCTCAGCCCTACGGCCTGATAGTAACCCTGCAAAGCCCTATACAGCCCCATAACAGCCCAAAAACTTCTTCATTGCAAACCTATATAGCAATCCTCTATTGCCTTCTAGATTGAGATTCTTTGAGCTTTTCATCTCCGAAGGCTTCAGTGACGGAGGGGAAGACTCTGGGGTCTAATGGCTTAAGGGTTTGCTGTTGAAGGGTTAAGGGATTTAGGATGTTTAGGGGGGGCTTTGGGCTTCTATGCAAGGGTTCTGGCTTCAGGGTGTAGGGCTTCAGGTTCGGTATACGCATGCTTGGACTAAAGTTGTGTCTTGAGTGAGGACGCCTGAAGCACACATTTAACTACCGAGGACACAGGGTGTAGCATCTAATCTATACTGCGTTCACATTCTCGATTCTGCTAACCTTCGCCTCCTCAACCAATCTGACGAAAGATGGGCCGAAGCATTCCAGCAAGTGCTTCAGCTGGAAGAGGTTTGAGCTTTCCGGTTGCAGCATTCTAGCGCTTAGGGTGTTAGGGCTCGGGCTGTCCAGGATTACATGCCACTCCCGCCCGCCCTCCCCCCTGCCAGTGGCCTCGATCGCGGCTTGACCCGGTTTGGCCGCCTCGTACCACAGGAAGCTTCATGCCCAACGGCGAAGCAGCCAAGCACTTCGGGTAGTATATGGTGGTATGGGTTTGCCTAAATGCAGAAGTCCTTCTCCACTAAAACCACCATCCGCTCCTCTGTATAATGTCAAAGTTCGATGTCGCCAGGCAACCCTAAGCCCTGGACCCTCACATTCAACATCAGGCGCTCGAAGGACAGGTGCTGTTACAAGTTATTCCTCCTCACAGGGCGTTGGGCTTAGGCTCTGCATTGAGGTTAAGTTAAGTGTTTCAGGTTTATTGCCCAGAGCTGGTCCCTTTGGAGAAATAGTACTACTTAGAAACTTTGCAGCCAGTACTGTTCATGGCTCGTGACCCAGCCTCGCCTGGCTTCAATTTCGCATTCACCACACCAAAACATGCGGGACCCATCGATACCCTACCCCAAACCCTAAACCCTAGACCCTAGCCTTGGCCCTACTAAACCCTAAACCAGAAGCCTTAGATCATCCGTAAAGCCTCTTACGCACTTGAGTTCAGGGTGCAAGTTCTGTCGATTCTGAGTGGTGCCGGGTTTTGGGCCTCGCTTGGCCTCGAGCTTGACGCCGAAAGCCAAAGAAGGTCCTGGACCCCCCCCCAATCCTTGCGATCCGCCCAAGCACCCAGGCCCCCCGAATCCTCAAGGAAGCAAAAGCACAACCTGAAGCCGCACACGGTGTGAAATTCGTGAAGGTCACGTTCACACACACACACACATGTGCATGCAAAGCGCTAGGTAACTGAAGCCTGAATGACCCACTTGTCAGAGGCCACCTCCCGGCACTCGGCGAGGTTACCGTGGGATGCATTCGTCGCCCTGGAGAATATTAAGTGCTTCACAGTTTGGGGTTCTCTGGGGTTCTTGGACTAGTTGCTCACGGTGCATGGTTGTTGGGCTCAGGGTTTCTCAGCCTGGGATAAAGGCCTAGACCATTAGAAAAGGGTTTGGTGTACTAGTTCTAGCATATGCAGAGACTAACTGTAACTACAGGACATCTTGATGCAGACCGACGCCATAATCTTCAGGGCATCGCGACCCTGGAGCCTCCAAGCAGTAGAGACAACAGCAGAATATGCGTCACAAAGACCCTCCGTTTCAAACAGGAAATAAGTTGCAGCTTAAGGCTGCAAGGGTTGAAGGTTACCTAGGCCCTAAACTGGTGCTTTCAGGCGAAGTAGAGACCACCTAGTTTCCAAGGCTCCTGGCAGTAAGGCACCCAACACACCAAGCCCCACAGCGGCCACGAAACAGAACTCATGGGTACCCTGCAGGACATGTACTTTGGAAGAATCCCTCACGCTGGCAAGGGCTTAGGCTGCAGGATTCTGGGCTAAGGGCTCAAGAAGCACCCACTATCACCCAATTGAATCCGGGACTCATGCAAACATAAATATGGAACGCTAGGTTGGCCCTTTAAAGCATCTGAAAAATATTCGTGCATAGCGTCCTCTTAAGCCCAATAAGGGAAAAATACAAAATATCCCACCCAAAGTACTGTACACTTTAACCCGCAGCCAAGTCCTTGCCCGAATCCCGCCCCTCCCCTTCATTGAAATGTTAACTGCCCCCCTACCCCCACCTCCAATAACAGAAGCAAACACATTCCCAAACCCTTAACCCTGAAGCCTACACCCTAAACCCCAAACCCCAAGCCCTAAACCCTAATCAAACAAGACGCAAAGGCTTCGGACACCTAGCAGTTGACCCGCTGGGACGCCCAACGCGCGCTGAAGGAAGCCCACCCACTGACTGGCAGCCTTCCACCGAGCTGCAAGCTCAATAGTGGAGTGGATTGTTAATACTTCATATTGTCACAAATGTTCTTCTTAGTATTATTTAGGGGTTTGTTTAGGGTTCCGGATTTGAGATTTACGGTCTATGGTTCAGGGTACGAGTCATCAGCTTGCGCGAGATGACAGGGCTTTGTTCAAGCGCGACTGCCAAAAAGGCCTTCAGAAGGCCTAGGGTTGGGTTTAGGATGTGCGCATGCGACGCTCCATTGGGCTGTTCTCATGTCCTCTGCTATCGTCTACAGCCTTGTTGAGCACTACTTCGGCACTCGTCAGCACAGACTAATCTACTGTAGAGGCCTAAATAGTTACGAATACGACTTGGGGGGCTTCCGACAATATACTATACCCCAAAACCCTATTCTTCTTCTTAAGGCCCGTATATCAAAGCCTTATAGTACCTGGGAACCCTTCAAGGCGCCCTGCCGCTATTCTAACTATTAAGGCCCCTACCCCTAAACCCTAACCCCTAAACCGTATGTTACTGGAGGGGCCGGGAAAACATCTCGAGACGCTCCTGCAGCGCTCCGGCGAAGCCGGCTTGAAGGTGCTCATGACGCCTCGCAGGTCTGTGTTTGTGTGTCTGTCTGTTTGGGGTCTAGGGTTTAGGGTTCAGGGTTTAGTCTGTGTGTGTGTGTGTGTGTTTAGGGTTTAGGGTGTAGGCTTACGGGATGTCGGGAGGAGGGCGCAAGGCTGTAAACCCTTACACCCCAAGCCTTTGTAATGTTTGATCAAAATCCTGTAAGACCTTAAACCATCTTAAACCCTAAACCCTAAACCTTTTAACGTCTTAAGCCCCAAACCCTGGTATGTAGAACTTCCAACCTCTGGGCTTCCTTTAGCGGTACACGAAAGCTTCTGCCGTACAGGGGCTAGGCACCTGTGAACGTCAGTGAAGTGAGTGGCTGCGAACTCAGGACGTCGGGTACACGAGATCCCAGTCTCCAGAACCTGGGAAACTCAAAACGAGGCACGCAACAAGCAATAAGGCAACAAGCCGAAATCCTCACCCCTAAGCCGTCGCAGCTGTTTTCAAAACCCCAACGGGGCACCCTACCGGAACCCGGAAAACAAGCAAAACAAACGACCATCCAAAAGAAACCATCAAAGCATAACAGCTCTTAGACAACCCAAACCTGGTGAAATGCAGGACTGGCTCAAACACGCCCCTCCTACCCAAACCTCAATCCCGAAACCCTAAACACCTTGAAGCCGCAAAACCCCACCCAAAACACGAAACCCCCGACCTAAA